TAGCAATTCTCTCAGACTTTTTTTTTCCTTCGATTTTCCGTTTGTAATCTCCTCACTATCCAAAGAACCGCCAACCTCACCATTATAAGAAACTCTCCACAATCTTACATATTTATCTTGTGATGCGCTTGCTAATAATAAATCGCCATCTTTTAATTTATATTGTTCTTGAATGGTTGAATCTGATGCAGATGAAACGATGGTGTTGTTTGATAAAGGTAATTCAGTGTATGTAGCAAAAGATAGTGATCTAATCCAATTCTCATGTCCTTGAAGTGTTAGAGATGGAATAAACTAAGATTAATAGTATGATAACGTGTAAAGTGTTTAAATGAACAATAAGCAAATGATTATATATAATAGTTTATTTACCAGTCCATCTTTTTGAACATATAATAATATCCTTTTATCTGTACTTCCACATGCTAATATTGGGACTAATTAAGGAAATCTTTGATTTAAGCGCATTATTTTAATTTAAAATTTCATATCTCTACAAATAAATTTTACATACTTTCTGATTCTGGTAAATACGACAAAGCTAAGGCCATAGGATGCTTTTTTTCAAGATTGATTGTTTGTAAGCATTTTACTGAATCTGTCCCAATTTATAAAAGAATTAATGAATGTTTAACTGCGATATTTTTAAATAAAATCATAAATTATTTATTTACCATGAACATCATCATAAATACTCCTTTCCCAAACTTTAATAGCACCGTCTGCAGATCCAGTTACAATTAGGTCCTTATCCACACTAATTGACTTTGCTCGAGTTACTCCAAGGGTGTTTACCGAGCCTCCATGAGATTCTAAAATTGCCGAATTTATCCACTAATAATTATCAATAGTTAATTCTCTACCAACAATAGTTATTGCACTTTTATACGAATTATGGATGATGTTTACTTCTTGATCTTTATTTAGCTTCCAAATTCTAGCAGTTCTGTCAACTGATCCAGATATTATTGCGACATTTCTCTGATTTAATTCATTCCCTATTGACAAGATAGTATTAGTAATCGACAGTAAATAAAACCATAAGTAATTTGTCTTGTAGTTTGTCTTACCTCTATATATAAATTCAACACAATTTACTCGATCTTTGTGTCCTGTAAGTGTAGAAATAATACCTCGGCATTCTGGATCCTAATCATACATATATCATTTAAAATTCATGTTTAACAAAAATTCATCATTATTATTGCTTCATTTGCTATCTTTATACATTAGTAATCTTTCTCAAATTAAACATCATCAACTGCATATATTTATTATATATACCTCAGGATAATATAAAGCCACATAATTATAAGCCCCAAATGCAACCATTCCATCTTTTCCCCAAGCTGCAACTTGTGGAACTCTATTACATCCAATACTTGTGAATTCATTTGAAACTTTTGGTACCATTTTTCGATAAAGTTACGATGGATTGATTTTGATGTTTGATATTTGCGGTCAATGAATAGATTTAAATTTGATGAATCAAGATAAACTAAATCGAATTTTTGAAAACAAAAGCTTAAAGGAAACTTTGGTGTGATTATCGGATCTGATTTCTAAAGAAATTTGGGATCTTCATGCCATCATAGTACACAAGATTATAAAAAAATCAAATGCATATTTCATATAAAAAAATAATAAGGTGCATTAATTTATTACTATTGATTAACTCAGATACAACGAAAATTTTGACATTTTTTATTCAGATTATATAAACTTACAATTTGAAGTTGGATGGAAATTAGAATAATAATTATGTTAATTTAAGAAAATGTAATATACAAATGTAAATCTTAAATCCGATCCCGCAATCTTTCAAAAAAATTAACGTTAACATTAACGTCAATATAATCGCAAATTTTTTTTTATATCAAAAATATGTAGTACAAATCAAGGTCAGATGATTTGTGTTACGAAACTAATGTGCTAAGATTCTAGGCCTACGGATTTTTTTCTCAAGACGAATCATTAAGAAATTAATAAATCCCAAGAAATCTAATCGGTTTCATCAGACTTTTTCAAAATTAAAATAACATCCTCAGATCCATTTTTACGAGCTTTGTCTAATGACGTATGACCATCAGAATCTTTTAGCTTTGGATTAGCTCCATATGATAATAAAAGGCGAACTATTTCCGAATTATTGATAATAGCAGCACGGTGAAGTGGCTAATTAAATTTAATTTGTAAAATATATAAGTCAAAAATATGTCAAATAGATAATATTTTAAAATATCCAAAAGGTTATACGTACTGTTGATAAAAGTTCTGGAGTTACAGCATTTACATTTGCTCCATGTTCCAGTAAAAGACGACATATTTCTAGATTACCACTTCGAGTTGCGTAATGCTATATAAATGGTTAAAAAATAAAACTTTAACAAATTCTCATCGTCAAATCATAAAAAAAAAAAGGTACAAAAAAGTATTTTTAAATACCAAAGGAGTATATCCAGCAGCATCAATTTGATTCACTACTACACTACCTTTCTTTGAAATAATTGATCTTACTTGTGAAATATTACAAGTTAAAGATGCATTATGTATTGATCTTTGAAAATCTAATTCGTCCAAATTTTGAGCATATAGTGAATGGTCGTGAGAACAAGATTTATCGTGATGATGATGCGAACTCATGATTAGAATTATTAAGCTGCAACTCGGGATCAGAGCTCAAAATGTATATACGTACGTGTATTTGGATACCGATTTGATTTTTAGGGTCCTTTTTCGATAAACTGTTACACATCTTTTTTTGCTTAAATAAATTTTTAGGGGACTAACACTTATTACGTAATATAGCCCCCCTCCTCTAGGCCGACAATTTTACTAATTCTGGTACTCTAGGAGTTAATTTCGCCCCAGAGAGGGGAGGGACTATATTTACGTAATAAGTGTTAGTTCCCTTAGCCTCTATATGTATTTTCGAGTAGTGAGGGATTAATTTGTCATTGAATAATCGATTGAATAATGCCGGTGCATTTTTCGCCTTTTGATTTAATTTTAACTATTATTAAATATGCAAATATTACCGTTACAATATTTTTACTTTAGTAATGACTTCGACGATAGCATAATATGCGCATAAATCTGATTTTTATCGCATAGCATATTTTTTTTGGATGCTATAACGATAAAATTTCAAGAGTATAATTATGTGTATATACAGTCAAACTTCTTTATAATCACACACTTGGGATACAAAAATGTGTGATTGTAGAGAAGTTTGACCGTTATCGAGGTCAAATTTATTATATTTAATAATAGTTTGTTTTTTAAAAAATAAGCCTATAAAGAAAATGTGCTTATATAGAAGGTGACTATAAAGAGGTCGGACTGTATATGTACAGTAAATATCAATCTGAAATACTGGTATGTAATAAAGGTTTGACGCTGTTAACTTAAAAAGTTAAGTAATGAAATTATGACAAGGAAGCAATAATTCTAAAGATAGTAAAGTTCTATGAAAGGTTGCGTGC